TTTATGGAATGTCCAAGATATAGCTCTGAAACCTAAGGGCCACTTATCACTCATTTTAAATACATTCGGGAAAAACAAAATGACATGCATCAAGGTTGCATAATGATTGTACCAATTTGAACAAGGTCCCATCCACACACAAACAAGATCCAGTTCCGGATGGTAGAAATTATTCTGATTAATTTTTAATGGTCGCCATTCGGCCATCTTGAATTATGAAATGAATGGGTGTAAATATGATGACATATGATATGTGTGTAATTGACCGAGGCTTGGCCAAGATATAAGGTCCGGAAAGACAGATGAACACATGATGTGTAATTTAAATAAACAAGCTACACACGTATATATACTACAACACATCTATACAAGTAATCACATGGGAAATGGAACAAAATAGTATATTACCAAGGTTACAAATACCGGAATCAGGGAAATTTTAAAATTAGTGCCTTATGATGACATAAGTTAATACATGCACCTTTACCTATTTTAGTTGATGTGCTATGACTAGGTATGACACTACTGCTAGCATCAGATAAACTTTCATAAATGGGATTAGTACTTGAACTGTTAGATTGAGTATTGTAAGACGCACTACCGTTGGATTGCAACTTGAGAGCTGTGGTTGCATCTGACAGTTTGTCATAGGGAGAGTTCTTGTAATGTGACTGGGGTGTTTGTCCATTACTTCTGGAAGTATTTTCTGTTACATCGCTACTTGATGGTTCCTCTGCTTGTTGATTTCTAGCACCTATGAATTGATACACATAACAACAATTTAGTAAATCCCACATATCATGGTTGCTTCTTGTAATAAAGCAGTGAAATAATACAAAGTTATCTGATTGGTCTATTTAAGAAGGTTAAAGTTTTATTATCTTGGCTGACAATCTGAAAATATGTCAAGATCTCTATATGTTTGTATTTTACACTATATTTTTCTTAGGGAGTCAACAATTATAATAATTCAAATATTTCTAATATGTAAAAAGTATTAATATGTAAGGCATCACTCAAATTAGCCGCCAAGTTTGAGCGAAATCGGCCCAGCCAAAAAAATCACAGAAGAGTTAATATGTGAAAACACTGGTATCACACATACACACAAAAGTGTTTTTAAGGGCAATCCTAGCGGAGCGGATCGCCAAAAACTGATATTGTAGTATTGGTCATGAGATATGAATAATACATTATTATGATCACACAAGTCTTTTTTTTTTTCATGTTTGCTGCAATGTATAATACCCTACCTGTCACAGCATCAAGAGAGTCTAAGTTATCCATAATATTTCTTGGTGGCAACTGGGGCATTGGATTCGTTGCCGCTTCTGCAATATTTCGCCTTGGAAGTTGAGGTGAACTATGTGGAGAAGGTTGCGGTGATGATGTGGGCGTGGGCCTTCTTGGTGGTGGAATAGGAGGAAGTGGTCCTCTGTTGATTGCTTTACTTTTGGCAGTTATCTCCTCCTCCTCCTCCTCCTCCAGCAGCACCAGCTGCACCTGTTACCTGGAATAGTAAAAACACAACTGCCAAAGTCATTGAAATATCTAAAATTATAGATTTGCAAATTTTGACAGAGAATTCTATTTGTGATTGTTGACTACATGTATTTTTCAAATTCTATATACCAGAATGTCTAAAATTATAAAAAATATTCATAATTGTGTGTGACAAAATAATACATTACTTCATGCATTCTGATTATTGAAAGAGTGATTCTGCTGAGTACAATGTACAAGTACAATTCAACAAGTGCAATTTGCTTACTGAAACTAGGTCTTTCATTTTAGACACCAGGAGCCACAATTTATTTAAAGATGAATGTAAATTAGTAAAGACTGCAGAAATTCAAAAAAGCACAAAAGATTCCAAATGACAAAAAGCAAATAAGAATTCTTAAACCCCGACTTTGGCAAATTGCCAATAAAGTAATCAAAGAAAGCTTAGAAAAATAAACACCCATGTAAAAATAGAGAATATTTTAAATATATTCAAAATACAAGACATAAAGCGTGGTGACTAATATACTGTAGAATTGGAAATTGTTTAAAACAGCAATAGCTGTTATTTTTTTTTTTAAATATAATAACACAAAAATGACCAAATGTTACTAAAATATTGCTTTAGACACAATTGCATGGGCAGAGTGAATCTACAAATGGCTAATTTAGATAAACATGAGATGCGAGAGCTAAGGGTTGAGGAGTCGTCATTTTGTTGAAACTGGTCACATGATGGTAGCCACAGAAAATTATGACATGCACTATAATGGGAAAGACAAGATGGCGACATAATTGATATTTCGCCACTGGTAAGTTGTCATCTTGTAATTTAATCACTGAGATTCGCTTGACCAAACTGTATGTATGATCTATGATCAAGAATACACTTCATGACAACGCTACAAGCAGTAGGATTTAGATTGACAATTCTGAAGCTTGCCGACTGTCAATAGTATACTTTTAATGCCATTATGATAGATGTTATGATTCCATGTAGGAAGCATTCACATTGCATGTATCATCTAGAAAAGTTTTTGATCACTTGAATGTATTTCTATTGCAGTAAAGATTCTATGATTGTACCATGATAAAAATGTATGTTCTCATTTATTTACAAAAACATCCATTTCTGATACTTGTATATGGACATACAATTGATCTATTGTTCTACTTTTGACATTTCTGTGAAAATAACTTAATAGCTCTGCAAAGTGATCCACAGTGTTGAAGTTTATAACAGAAAAATTCTTACCCCAGATAAAAAATAGGCGATTTAATACAAATAAGCACAGAGGTTTCTGACAGGGGGTATATCAGTCAAATAAGGTAATACTGAAGATAATGTTTTGCACTACTCAAAGTAATACCAAAATTTGCTCTCATATCAATATTTGCTGTTTCTAGCAATACTACATATTGTCTTCAGTGTTAGCCACAAAAACACCTCTAATTGATTAAAATGATGAAGAAGATATTTTGATAACTCAGTGTACAAATTAAACATGCATTCAGACAGCAGAAAATAGAAAAAGATTGACATTTGATCAAAGAAACACATATTCATCTTCAAATATTAATCATTAGTGATGACAACAACATTAACATAGCATTTAAAATTTCACAAAAACATTTCTAATCATGTGGCCCTGTTCTAGTAATGACAACAAATTTGATGTACAGATGTACACAAACTGCTGCCCATACTGTCTAATAATCACCCTGCTAATCAAGGCATTTTTTACAAACCTGATCATAATGAATTGACTAATTGCAAGTATTACACTACGACACTACTCTGTGTTTCATTTGAACCTGATAGGGGGGGGTTGACACAAGAGGGCACCATCTGATCTGAATGGAACGTTTCGGTGTCAGTCGTCCATAGCCCATTGTCAAAGCAACAACCTCCCTTTTACGAACATATGAAATAATTTCAGCGATTTCTTTACGAATAATCCTCGACAAAACTTAGAAACATTTCGTAGAAACTTGCAGGCTCTAAAATTATGTCTATTGCAATACAATTCAACAGACAGCCAGTGCAACGATAAAATATCTTGCCGGAGCCCGAGTTCTACGCGTGATTTTATTGCGTTCAAAATTGTTTCATTTCAAACTGCGCATACACACACACTGTGGTTTC